CCCAATGGCCAGGGGGCTGTAGCTTGGCCACAGCCATGAACCTCCAACCCCCGTAGCAGCCAGGGAACTCTGGCCTCGTCCCCTGCTGCAGGTTTCTGGCTGCATTCTGGCTCCAGGGGACTCCAGCGACAGCCAGGGTGCTGTAGCTCGGGTCGTGGAGCTCCAGTCCTGTCCCTCAGCAGAGCTCTGGCCCCAGGTGTGGAGCTAAGCGAATGTGGAGCTGTCCCCAGCTGTGCAGCCCTGGCCATGGTGCTCCAGCCCCAGCAATAGTGGGGTTGGGGACAGCCCCTGGGTGCTGAGGCAGCAGGAGGGAACAGGCTGGAGCCCTAGCCCAGTGGCAGCACTGCCATGAGGGGAATTACCTTCCCTGGTCTGCCAAATCCCCTCGTTCAGGACCAGTCAGGTCCCGAGTGCACCGAACCAGAGAGGTCCAGCCTGTATAGTTAAGTCCTAAGCAGACTGTGAAGAGCTACAAAAGGATCTCACAAAACTGGGACACTGGACAACAGAAGGACAGATTCAGTTCAGTGTTGACTGATGCAAAGTAATGCGTATTGCAAAAACACAATTCCAAGTCTATACAAAATTGATGGGGTCTAAATTAGCTGGTACCACTCCAGAAAGATCTTGGTGTCGTTATGGATAGTAGAGATGTAAGTGACTACTTGATTACCAGATAAGCCTAAGCTTGAGTCACTGCTTGACTACTCGCCTCCTCCCCGCCTTGCTGCCTCTGTAAGGAGCTGGTGATGGCAGGGCCAGCTTAAAAGCCCGCTGGGCTCTTATTACACTTCAAATGCAGAGCTTGTATTGCTGCTGCTTCTTTATAACTATGACTCCCCGCCCCAGCAGCCTGTTATATAATACAGGAAGTTAAAGCTTTTATATCCGTTCCCCTCTCTATTCTAGCTCTAACTCACGTCCTCCTAGATCAGTGGTCCCCAACCCTTTGGGGCTGCTGGGCGCCTGGGGGTGGGGCCACTCACATGCTGGGCACCTGGGGGCGGGGCCACACCTGTGCCCGGGGGCAGGGCTGCACATGTGCCTGGGGGCGGGACCACCCATATGCCGCGCACCTGGTGCCGGTGGCACCAATGCGCCACACTCCCAGGGCTGGCGCCACTCCTGTGCCATGCGCCCGGGGTGGGGCCGCCCATACGCCACGTGCCCAAGGCCGGCACAGCCCATGTGACACGCACCCGGGGGCGGGGCCATCCATGTGCTGTGCGCCTGGGTTGGTGCCATCCATATGCCGCATGGCTGGGGCTGGCACAGCCTTTGCGCTGTGCACCTGGGGGCAGCGCCGCCCATGTACTGCACGCCCAGGGCTGGCGCTGCCCATTCCCCGTGTGCCCTGGGGCAGGGCCACATGTGCTGCGCCCCCGGGGCCGGCACCGCCCTTATGCCGAGCGCCATCGGGCTGGCACCGTCCATGCGCCGTGCACCTGGGGGCAGGGCCGGCCCCGATCACTCAGCGGGCGGATAGAAATGGCCCGGTGGGCGCCATGGCGCCCGTGGGCACAGTGTTGGGGACCACTGTCCTAGATAGTGTCAGTCTGGGCTCTCTCAAAGTCTGTCAGCCCTGGCATGGATCGGCTACAATACTTGTTGTATCTGGACATATGCGAAATAGTTAAATGGGCCCAAGCGATACATTTGGGGGCACCAAAAAGTTCCTTCTTTTGTGATGGTCATCACGTTAGATCTCTTGGTCTTTTCCTTAAGTCTTGTTCATCAGCTTCTGATACAGCGTTTCTCCAGCTGAGGATCCGTTTGTACATGTATTTTGATACATTTTCACATGCTGCATTACTAATTTTTCCTGCAATCCACATTCAACACATTATTCATTGAATTGTGCATAACCTGTACATTATTCATGTGCAAGAATTAATCACCTAATGTCTATACTTTTCTTGCTGAATGTGCAGTTTTAGGGTCATAGTGCTCTGTCCCATTTATATCAGTGATCATACATCTTAGTTGAGTGACTTGCCAACAATATTATTTTAAACAAATCAGATTATCTGAAAGAGAAATCAACAAAAAATACCTTCATGCCAGGCAAAGACTTGGTCTGCATATTACCTCATCTAATACTTTCTCAATATCCATAATTAGAATTTATTAAAAATATATCTAACAAAGAATCTTGTTTTATCATTAGCAGTCCTCCATTTCAATGTGAGATCAGTATGTATTTGTCATAATATATTAGCCTCCCCCTTAATCTGTTAAAAGGGGAATTTTAGAAAGCATGCCCTGTAATTCTTTAGTCTGATATCAATATTTCTAATCTTCTGTAAACATAAATTTGTCTTTTTTTAAAAAAATTTTTTACTCAAAGTCCAAAAACTTTGCACTTTGGGAGAGCCAACTCTCAGTGTTTTTCCCGTTAAAACCTCTGGTGTTTAGGCCTTGGTTTTTAGTCAGATTTAACAGCAGTCTAATACTAAGCAGTAGACAGCTTTTACTTGTTCTTTTAGTTATTTCGGGCACTGCATTTGTGTCTTTTCAATGTTTTCTCCAGGAGCTGGAAGATGCGATTCAACCAGACACAAGCTTGGTGTCCATAATGACGGTGAACAATGAAATAGGAGTAAAGCAGCCAGTTCGTGACATTGGTAAGTAGTCCCTGTCTTCCAGCAGCCTAGGATACATTACTCTGACTTGAATGATGTTCTCTGCCTAATTATGTTTCTACACACAGGCTCTAGAGCCAAGTGCTGGTGATTAGCATGTGTAGTCAAATGATTATCTACACAGGTGGTTCGTTTAATGTTCAGAAGGCCAAATTTAGCCAATTTTATTGCTAAAACAAAGTGCAGTACAGAAGAGAGAGAGTTACTACATTACCCATCGTTCTGGGGGGCTGTTTCTCACAACATGCCAAATGACCTTATACAGAAGCAATGAGGAGTCCTGTGGCACCTTAGAGACTAATAGATTTAATAGGGCGTAAGTTTTTGTGGGTAAAATTCTCTTCATCAGATGAATTGGAGTAAGGTTTACAGAGGCAGGGGTGTGTATAAGGAAAACAAAAGAGGCTACTTGTAAATGAGGCTAATCAAGTCAGGGTGCAAGTGGCTTATTCACAGCAATTGAGGTGGAGATGTGGCTATTAAGGATGTGAAAGCATAACTGTTTACACCCAGGCTCGTTATTTAACGAGCATGGTTAGACACCTCCTACCTTCCCCATCACCCCATGCTACTGCCTCTGTATCAGTGGCAGCAGGGTGGGGTGGGGGCACGTCCTGACTCCCACGGAGCTACCTTGCTCTCTCGGTATCAGAGGCAGTGAGGGGGGCAGGCAGGAGCTGATCCTCCTGGGGAGCTGACTGCCCCACCCACGTAACCACTGACATTTTTCAGCAATTACATATTTACTTTAATAAATACATTTTAACATCCCCAGTGGATACCAAGAGTGGGAAATTGTCTTTGTAGTACATTAACCAGTTAAGATCCTTATAGTACTGAATACTACACTATTGAATAGAACAGACTGTCAACCCGGCTAGGCACGCTGCAGCGTGGCATGCTGGTTAACCATTACACCCATCGTTTAACCGGTTAACATTTTAAATCCCCTATAAATGGGATTTTACATCCCTAATGCAAAATAAGACCTAGAAGTAAGCCAGCTGCAGATCAAATGAGAGTTTGCAATGATCTGGCAGGGAAAGAAGTTCACTGGGCCCGGTGAGAGACCCATTATGCCATAAGGTGGTCATGGTTTCTCTCTGAATGTGATACAGCTACCGTTGGAACATCGCTCACTTGTGGGCACCAGAAAGTTACTGTCAATCTAGAGAAAGTTCACTGAAGAATAACCACTGTGAGATGGGAACTGCAGGAACTGTGTTTTGAGGAAAGATTAAAATCCAAGTTTTTGCAAATTTAGTTAAGTGACAGCACAGTGGGGAATAGATCATAAGCATACTTGATGAGTCTGACAGCAAGGAAGGAGAGGAATTATATTAGCCTGATACTTGGGATGTTATTAGATCAAAGAGAATTAAGATGTGGAAAATCAAGGTGGTCTACTGGGAGAATTTCCAAATTCCAGATCTGGCAGATTGTAAGTAGACTTTGCCAAGGGAAGTGATTGAAACCCCCATCGCTTCAAACTCAGCCATGCAATGAGAGATGGGTGGTGGTCCTATAGAGCCAGTCCGTCACTTGTCAAGGTGACTTTGCTGCCAAAGTTCATCACCTAATAAACCATCTTGTTAGTCTTTAAAGTGCTACATGACTGCTTTCTTTGTTTTGCCTCCTACGTCTTTGATAAGAAACTGGCACGTAGCTCTTCTGTTGCACTAATTGCAATTGAGATGCTGAGCATTACTAAGCATGGATGATAGCAGCCTGGAATAGCTCCAGACCAGTGACTAACAAATTTAAAGAGCTACATTTCTTCTTCCTTTCCCCTACCAAACTGCTCCACTCCTTGCAAGATGAATAACATGCTGTCTTGTGTCTTGCTATTGTGGTGTTCTTCTCCCAGGTCAGATCTGCAGCTCCCGTAAGGTTTTCTTCCACACGGATGCTGCACAGGCAGTTGGCAAAATCCCCATGGATGTCAATGATATGAAAATTGACCTAATGAGCATCAGTGGCCATAAAATCTATGGTCCCAAAGGTACTTTGTTTTTGGATTTGTTTGTTTTTCTAAGGGATTCATTTTTTCCAGGCTTGTCTCAAGGTCACTTTGTTTCAGCAGGGATTCTATGAAATGTTGAGAGAAATGCTTAAACCTTCATTTTCTTCTTGAATGAATAGAGCTTTTCAGTGATCGTTGAACCAGACCTAGCATACTTGGATTATGTATTCTACTTTTGTCCTTTTTTTCAAATGCAAAAAAGGCAAAATTGTTCAAGGGCCCTATGGCTAAGCATGGAGTCTCTCGACAGAGCAGGAGTGAGCTAAGGCCTGTCTGTCTCCTTTCTGCCCAGCCTTGCTCCATGATTCGTATTCGTTCAAATGCTTCTGGCCCCTCATGCAAATAGGAAGAAATGGTAGGCTGGCTGAATATATGGGGAAACAGTGGAATTAATGCAGGGCCCAAAGTAAAAGAAAGCAAAAGCCATTTTCTCCAACCCCCTTGCTCTAGTGATTAGAGCCTTACTTTCACAGTAGAAAGTGAATTGCTTTCTGACTGACAGCAGTGTGAGGAAGAGCCATTCGGGCTGTGCTGCCACACCTGCAGAGGGCATCTCTATTGGGAATGCCCGCCATCAAGCATGTGGACAGACTGAAGGCTCGGGTAGTGTTAGCTGCTCACGTTGCAATACCACACGGGGCACAAGTCCAGGCAGGGCTGTGTTGTCGTCTGAAAGCTCTAGGATAACAGGAGTCCTTTGCCCCTGCCCCTACACCCAGTCCTCTACACCAGTCCTCTACACCAGACCAGAATTTTCAGTGTCACAGTGGAGGAGTAGGGGGCAACTATGCAGTCTGTGGCTGGAGAAAAGGGGTGGCTTTCCCTTCAGAATGCCACATCTCTCCGGACACTGGCTGAGTGACTGCCCCTGCTCCTCAGGCAAGCATCCGTGCTGCTCACTGCCATCGGCACTTCTTGCCTGCTCCCCTGACGCTGCAGCTGAGTTTTTGTTCAAACATGACTGAAGTGGAGGCCGGACAAGTTCCTTCAATAGCAAGAGAGAACCAAGCAGATTGCAGGTGTGTTACTGCCGCCATGTGTTGGTGGCAATATTTGGTGTCATGGAAATACCATGGTGGGACATGTGCTAGTCTCCTCTGTGTGAAACTAGAAGCTTATTCAATGAGAGGAGGATGGATTGAGGTGCAAAAGTCTCTCTCGAAACTGTCCTGTCTAATTAGCTTCTTGTAGCTCCATTAATTAAAGACTGAAACGGGGAGAACCTCTGGGAAGACTCCTGGCCTACAGAGTCAAGGGGAGTTCTGCCTCTAGGGCTACAGGGGACTGGATAATGGAGCTAAGGAAGTACGACTATCTACATACACAAACCACCCTAGCAAGACCACTTTTGGGGGGGAAGTAGCCCAAGCAGACTGTGTTTTCAATAGCATGGGCCACAAAAATACTTCCAGCTGACTGTACATGGCAGTAATGTTCCAAAGAAGGGGAATAATTCGGGTCGTATTGGGTGTTGTGCTGTGAGCACGCTGAAACTTATGTTGCCAGAACCAGTGGGTGAGAGGTTGAGGCCTCTCCTTCCACTCAGAACCATGCAGGAGGGGAAAGTAGTGGGGCGAGTGGTAGCAGCTTCCAGGGACACTGGTTTTGGGAAAATTCTGAGTTCATGCTTCTTTTTCGAGTGAGATCCCTGTGAGTGCTCCATTGTTGGAGTCGGGTCATCCTGGAGCCGCAGATCGGAGTTTTCATGAGCAGTGGTCAGCCGGACCGTGCATGTGCAGCAGGCGTTTTGCACCATTCGCGCTCTTTTCATAGAATCATAGAGCTGGAAGAGACCTTAGAAGGCCATCAGGTCCAGCCCCCTGCCCAAGGCAGGACCAATCCCAATTAAATCAACCCAGCCAGGACTTTGTCAAGCCGGGACTTTTGATCTCTTGCACGGTCCAGCTCCCGCCAGTTCCTTCTTCACCGCCCATGGTTGCAGATGGAGCGAGCCTTCTCTCCTCAGACAACCTGTCAGGAGTTGAACAGAAGTGTATTTAGTGTTAGTTAGTTTTAGATCTAGTTTGAATTCTTATAGTTAATAGTTACAGTTAGTTCACCATTTAAAAAAAAAAAACAACCCAATTCATTAGTTATATAAGTAGATATGACAGGATCTCCAGGCTTTAAGAAGTGAGCCACGTGCCGAGATATGATGCCTGCATTGGATAGCTATACCGATTGTATTAAGGGCGTCGGTGAGGCACATGTCCCTCAAAAATGCGTCCACTGCGTCAAACTCACTGTGAGGACACGTAAGGACCAAGAAATGTGGCTAAAAATGTTTTTATTTAACAAAGAGCTACAGCCCGTGGAGCTTTCTCAGTCAGTCTCCACTCCGTGATCTCCCAGGGCTGAGAAAAGGAAAGCTATCTCTCCACAGTCAGCTCTAACTTGGAAAAGAGCTTCAGCAGCCCGTTCTTTACTGTCACTCCGAGTGTGGGAGACAAGCCGGGCATATCGGATCCTGCGACATCCAAGCATAAGACGCTCTCAGAACCAAAACCCTGACAAAAAACTGCATTGGTACCATCAACGGCCTCAGTGGCCCACTGATTGGCATCGCCAACAACTGCACCGGTCATCCTGGTACCAGCAACGTTGGCACCCTCCAGACTGACAGTGTCCATACACATGCCATTGACCTCGGTGCATACATCCACACGGGCAGCACTGACACCATATTCACCATCCAGCTCTTCGATGCCGAAGAAAGCATCTTACAAATCTGATGCGATGAGGCAAACGAGTCCAGAACCGTTGACTTTCTCCCCGGCATCGTCCTCTGCTCCGCTTTCTCCTTATTACCCTCGCCTCACAAGGGAAAAAAGAATTCAGACCCCACAGGACCAAACTACACATTATACCTCCAGATATCATGCATCACCATCACCTTACTCAAGATACATCGCTCATTCACCTCCCCCTTCTTCAACTGGTTCTCCACATTCACCGCGTTCTCCACGCCTTCTGGTACATCATCACAGACACTACAGAACTGGACTAACATCCAGATATGCCTCTTCAATGCGGTCTTACCATAGATGACACAGCCCAACAATCTACCGCTATCATTCCTGACATGCCTCAACCCATCATCATCATTATCATTCTGATTATGGTTGTCCTTGTTGCCCCTGTCATCCTGTGCCCCATCTGTTCTCATGCCCCATCCATTTCTCCCCAACCTTCACATGGTCAGCAACTAACAATTACCCCTTCCAATGCTCCCTCTATAGGTCATCAGTTGTCGGAAGTGGAGGAGCACCCACCAGATGTTTCACCAACCGATCAGCTGGTGTCATCTCCTGATGAAGTTGTTATACCTGGTGACCAATCTCCTCTTGATGATCTCAAACAGTTTCAGGAGCTTTCTAAGAGGGTGGCTGCATCCCAAGACATCCAATTAACTGAGCTGCCAGAGAAACAATACCAGCTTCTCAAGAATCTGCAGCTGTCACAACGGGAAAGAATTGCAATTCCTATAGATGAACCTATTATGGAAGCTGCTGATAAAATCTGGCAGACTCCAGCTTCAGCGCCACCACCTAATAAGAGAGCTTGATAAAAGATACTTTGTTCCTCCAAAGGGAATCAACTTCTTATTCTCTCAATCTCAATCAAATCCATTAATTGTTGATGCTGCTCAACATAGAGCTAAACTCCCGCAATATAAGAACACTTCTGAGGGAGACAAGGAGCATATGGGCTTGTTTTGCAGAAAGCTTTACTCTTCCACCTTACTGTTGCGTATAGCCAACTATGCAGCGCTGTTGTCCAGTCATAACTTCAACAACTACACAAAGCTTATCACCCTCATTGAGCACCTGCCGGACTCCAAGAGACCCATATTGAAGTCTATTGTTCAGGAGGGTTACACCTTCTCTAGGACAGCTCTCCAAATAATCCTGGATATAGCTGTTACAGCAGCCAGAGCTAAGGTGACATTGGTGGTTACGAGTAGAGTCTCCTGGCTACAATCTGCTGGAGTCCCTTGTGAGCTACAGTCGAAAGTTGAAGATTTACCTTTCGATAAACAAAAATTATTTGCTGAAAAGATAGAGGATATCTTGCATTCCAGCAAGGACTCCAGAACAACTTTGCGCACAGTTGGCATGTACACTCCCCCATATTACCCATAACAAAAGCACCGGGAGTTCTTGTACTCCAGATATCAGCAATGTGGTTTTGATTATTCAAAAAAAAGCAGTGCCCTGAGAGGAGACACCCACAGAATGCTCGTAATACCAGTAACCAGACTAATAAGCCGCAAGTTTGACCTGTTGGTCGAGGGACTGCAGAATCTCCCCATCTCACAATATTGAACACATTCTGCCCTGGCATTTCACAACCATCTAAGGCAGTGGTTCTCAACTCATTTCAGTCCACAGACCACCAGAATTTTCGTGGACCACCTCCTGTTTGAGACATGATAAAAAAGAGCAGACAATGAACATTTTGGTTTGAAATTTATTTCTTACTAACATTTTTGGATTCTCTTCTCGTTGAAAAGCTTTTCATTTTCTGGAGTAGTACTTGATAATGCACCACGAATATTGCTTTCCACTGCAAACTGCTTCCTCTGGACTTAACGTGTAACCGACATGAAAATTCAGTCTCACATATATAAGCTGATGCAAATGGCAAAAGAAATCTGACTGCATGTGCTGACAGATTTGGGTAACTCCCGATCACTCTGGCCCAAAATTTCTCTGTGGCAGACTTCTGGTACACGTCTTGAGCCGCAAAATCATTTTTCAGATCCAAGAATTCCTCCTGCAGATCCTCTGGAACACTATTAACATCTGTTGTAAATGGATTCCTGATTGAAGGATAATCCATCCCTTTTCCTGTCCACCTCTGCAAAGTATCATTGGAATTCGTCTCATAGCTTCTGTAAACGATCGAGAATTTGCGTCTGAATGGCTTCCTTTTCCCCAAGCATGGCATCCACATATGGAAATTGAACTAAATTATTGCCTTCAACTTTTACGATCCAGAGTTCCAATTTGTCAAGAAAAGCCTTTATGATGCTTTGGTGAAAGAACAGATTTTCACCTTTGCCTTGCAGCTGAAGATTCCGTTTGTTCAAGATTCCAAAAATATCGACAAGATACGCAAGTTCTAAATTTGACTGCGTCAGCACATTTCGGAATTCCTCTTTCCCTGAGCCTGGAGAAATAAATCCAACTCCTCTCTCAACTGAAAAACTCTGTTGAGTATGTTCCCTGCTGACAACCACCATACAGAGGGGTAGAACAGCAACACATCAAAGTTGGAACCCATGTCCAGGCGAAATCTTTTGAACAGCCTGGTGTTCAGAGCCGATGATTTGATGTGATTCACCACTTTCACAACCCTTTGAAAACGGTATTCAGTTGATCAGGCAATGTTTTTGATGCCAAAGCTTCCCTATGAATGAAGCAATGAACTCCGGTTACCATTGGATCACACTGTTTCACCAGCGTTTGGAAGCCCGATCATGAGCCCAGCATGGCAGGTGCACCACCAGTGGTGACACCCACAAGATTTACCCAATCCAGACCATATACTTCAGAGAAATTGTTAACAATTTCCATCACATCCTGAGCATTTGTGGTGGTATCAAGAGTCTTAAAAAAAAGAAAATTGTCTTTTAAGTCTGTACCTCTACCATGTATCGTGCGAACACCAATAGCTGAGAGCACAATGCGACATCAGTCGATTCATCCAGTTGTATGGCAAACAATGGAGACTTCTTTATTTCATCCACTACTTGTTCACTAATGTTCTGTGATATCTCATTTATCCGTCTCGATACTGTGTCATTAGAGACAGATATATCATTCAGCTTCCTTGCTGCTTCTTCGCCAAGAACAAGCCACACCATCTCTTTTGCACAGGGGAGCACAAGTTGCTCTACAGTGGTATGGGGCTTCTTGGCCTGTGTAACTTTGTATGCAGCAATGTAGGAAGCGCGCACTGCATTGCTTGTCTTATTGTAGAATGCACTTGTTGAGTCAAGGCGCAAATCTACATAAACAGGACTCGATCTTTCCGCAAATCTGACCGTCTACTCATTTCTACAGCTGAGCGTACTAAGGGGCACCTCTATCGTCAAAACACATCTCAAAGCTCATCGTCTCCTGTATCTCACAGTGCTATACTTTGAGGAATAAACTACTACCTCAGACACTTAGAGCACACTCTACAAGAGTGATGGTGACTTCTACAGCTTTTTTCCATGGGGTTCCTCTCAAGGACATCCGTAGAGTGGCTGTGTGGTTCACCAATGACATTTTTATGAAGCATTATGCAATCTCACAGACTCAGCCAGATGACACTGTTGTGGCCTCCACAGTCCTATCAACCGCTGTTAAACCATAAATCGGAGGCCCATCTACCTAATATACTTGAGTACTGCTACACATTCACCAACAGTGGAGCACCCACGGGGACATGACTTGAAGAAGAAGAGAAAGTTACTCAAGTTGGTGCAGTAACGATGGTACTTCGAGATGTGTGTCCCTGTAGGTGCTCCACTACCCGCCCTCCTCCCCGCTTTGGATTATTTCTTCTTATATTTTCCAGATACTGGGTGGACTCGAGGAAATGGCGGGAGCTAGAGAGCTCAAAAGAGCGGGAACAGTGTGAAGGTGAGGCATGCATGGTGCAGCTGACCGCTGCTCATTGTGACCCTAACCCGTCCCCTCTCACGGGCCAGAATGACCCTGAAGCCCTATGCCCGGGGAGAGAGGCAGGCGGCCCCCTTCCCCCAACAGTGCTGTGCATGCGCCGTGGGCCGCGTGCCACGTTTAAAAGCAGCGCCGGCTCAGCTGGCAGGGGGAGGTACACCAGCGCAGGGGAGCAGGCCGAGGGTGGCCGGAGAGGTTGAAACGGGCAGAAATGGCTGGGGCCGCCGGGAGTGGGCAGGGAGCAGCTGGAGACGGCGGGAGGCGCCGGAGCAGGGGCAAAAGCGGCCGGGGACATCGGAGCAGGGACGGAGGCCGCCAGGGACGCCGGGGCCAAGAAAGCAGTCGCCCGCGTGGCCGCGCCGAAGGTTCTAGCCCCAGGCCGTGAACAACCCTTACGACAGACTCTTCAGACCCATGAGGGACGTGGCCAGTGGAGGAGCATTTGAGAACCATTGCGAGTAGTCCCAGGATGAGAGGGGCGGTGAGTAACCTGCATTTGGGGCTCGCCACTGGAGCGAGGCCAGTGAGGCCTCACCTCAAGGCCCTGGGGCGCAACCCACTCGGAGACTCTTGCAGAGGGACGGATCAGGAACGAAAGGCTTCCCAGTGAGTTTGGATCATTCCCCAAGCCCTAAGGGGGCACACAGCTTGTGGGGGAAGTAGACTACCCTACTTCAGGCGTGCCTTGCATAGGTACACGCCTATCCCCTGAAACTTTCAAGCCCAGATTAAAAGTAGGGATTGGGGCCCCTGTGCCATTAACATGGGTGCCCCGCTCCCACATATTCTGGGGGGGGGAGGGGCGTAACACTTATGAAAACTCCGATCTGTGGCACTGGGACGACTTGACCCTAACAGTGGAGCACCCACGGGGACACACATCTCAAAGAACTGTCATTACTGCACCAAAGTACTTCCTTATCCATGGTGCCCCTCCCCCCAACAGGGAGGCAGCTGAGCTGTTCTTGAAGGGAAAGGAGGTGGGCATCCTTTGTAGTAATTACAAAAGTATGTCCTGCACATGCCCAGCTTTTTTGTTTGTTTTCAAGGGATTGGTGCCATCTATATTCGCCGTCGGCCCCGGGTCAGGTTGGAAGCCTTACAAAGTGGGGGAGGCCAGGAGAGAGGCATGCGATCTGGGACTGTGCCTACACCATTAGCCGTTGGCCTTGGAGCAGCATGTGAAGTGGCCCAACAAGAGATGGAGGTACAGGGAGAGCGATTCTGTTTCATGTTTCTATGTTACAGTCCACAACGTGTTCGCTTTCCAGGCTCAATAGTGAGGTTTGCCTGATGTAGATTTCAGTGATCCCCTTTAGCTGTTCCCTGCAGACATTTTTGTGGGATTGAAAGGTGATTGTGAGACTGTTTCTACTTTAGATTGGTTGGAATATATACAAAAAACTCCCACAAAGCTGTTTACTTTTAAATTTCCATACACTTATATATGTGAGCACAGTGTCCCCAGGGAAGTGCAAATGTGCCCCATGCATGAAGATAGATGCCTTACACCGTCGCTGACAGTAAAAGGGGCTCTTTGTTCACAAACCGTTCAGTATTGTATGCTAGAGCAATATAAAGCAGACGTAACTTTGCCCTGTCGTGTGTGTCTAAATTCCATTGCAGGTTGCAGGCACTTAAGAGTCTAAGCCTCTTTTTAACTCAATGGCACTTATGCTCCTATGTCATTGGGTTTCTTTTGAAAACGTTACCTATTGTGTCTGCATTAAAATATGACTCCACTCTCAAATACTCACCCCCCTTTGTTTCATCTTGACCCTTGGAAAAATCCTAGTTGCACTGACAATCAACTAGTACTGGGGGGGGAGAGTCTGTCAGCCAGTGTGTGGGTGATAGAAGGTACATCTCTCAAAACTGCTTATACCGAGTTAGTGTACTCTCAAGTGGGTATATGTGTTTGCAGCACCCTTCTGTCTGCTTGGCCTGTTTTGGCCTGATCTTACAGTGCATGTAACGTCTGAGTTCCTTACAAATCTAAATAAACACAAGGCTGCCTGTTAGCAGAGCTGAGTTCTATTGCCTTGGTAAGCTGTACTAACAGTGTGGCCCTCTGTTCTGTTCTAGTGCCTAAACCATACAAGCAGGTGTGAATCTACTACAGCCTTTGAAGTAAAGGTTGTGGTTCTCAAACTTGGGCAGGAAAGGCTCATTTTTAGGGTCCATGTTCAGTCCTTGCTCCTGTTGAATCATACAAGTCACACAATTGCCAGTGTGCTTTTCACAAGTGGAGTGTAAAAGTCACTTCCACAGAATCTCTGAATTGCATATCGCCCAAGTGGATTTCTACGCCGGTACAATAGAGAAGCAGGAAATCCTGTCCACAGAACCCATGCCTGCTCGAGCCTGGCAGCCATTAGTCACCTGAGCCCAGTAGTCCCCAGAAGCGCTGTTGGAGGCTACGCACCTGCAGAATTTGTGAGTTCTGCAGAATCTCAGCTCTGGTGGTTCTTCCTAGTTCTACAGAATGTATCAACATCACACACCCAGAATGCTCCTAGGAGACCTGGCTTGCAGTCACCTCTCAATATTCAAACCTGCCCATGCACTACGCAAGCCACCCAAAGTTGGAACAAATGACTGAAAGTGTGGTATGATTTCTCCCTGCTTTTGCCCCTAAGGGGACCGTTTGCCCTTCTCCCATGAGGGGCTTTTCCCCAATAAACTCAGTCTGTCCTCCACTAAATTCAATGGGCTTTTCCTTTGCTGCTGCTGGTGCCCTTCTTTGGCTCACTCCACTTCAAGGATCAGGGACTCAAGACCTGCTTGGACTGATATTTTTACGAGAGGAGGGGGGCATGAAGCAGCCTCCAGTCCTCTGTACTGCCTATGACAAACACAGTAGCTCAGGGCCTGCTTCACTGCTAACACTCCCAGGGGGACATGTCCAGTCTCCACTCTGCTCAGTAAAAAAATAGCTAGTTCCTGGGCCACCTGGTCCCTGACTCCAAGGTCCCTCTGCTGCTTTAAGGGAAAAAATCCACACATGGATGGAAACGATTAGAGAGAACATTGGTCACACATCCCTGTAGTGTCCTCAAGAAGTCTCCCTAGGTTCAGGAAGATAAGCATCTTCTAAAGCCTGTTGTTTTCCTAATGGCTCATTGCCCTCAATGGGCCCTTCCCAGCCAGCCATCTAGACTAAGGCTGTGTCTACATGGGGAAGGTTTGGCGACAAAAGTGCTGTCAATGTGCAAAAGTTGCCAGAAGTGAAAATGGGTCAAACGATTTTTCCAACTCCCATTGTTGACATTTCATGTCCACAATGCTAGCACACTGTCCACAGATAGAGCAAAGCATTGTGGGTAAGCATCCCACATGCAGTGCTGAGCTGACCCCCTGCACTTCTTGGGATTCCCTTGTAGCTCTGTGAGCTCTCTGTGCTGAGGAATGTCAAAGCAACACCACACTCTCTCCAGCCCTCCCCCTGTAGTAGCAGCCTGCTTGCTGCTGTGTTCCTAGTAAGGCAGAAAAGCAGCATTTCAATGATCTGTTCTTTGTTCCCCAAACAGAGTAGCTTACTCAGCTGTCAGATACTTTCTGGAGCTTTGAAAAGGGAGGGGCGCATGCCTGCAGGGTAGCAGAGACTACAAAACACTGAGTACAGCCATCAGAGCAGGGATTGTGGGATACTGGCAGAAGCCAGTTCTCGCCATAAACAGAAGAGTCCACACTGGATCTGTCGACAATAAAGAGGGAGAAATCTCTTGTGGGGCTGGAAATTTTTGTTGCCCAAACTGGGTTGTTTTTCCTGACAGTCACATTGCAGTGTAAACACACTCACTGTTTTGTCACCAAAAGTCAGGTTTTGGCTGCTGGATAGGTCATGTGAAAGCCTGGGAAAGGTAGTGATTTACTGAAGTAGTTATCCTATTAGTGTGCAGGTACCAGTTTTACCAACTCAGAGTTTTTAAAAAGGGTACCAGAAGTGAGGCTTTTTAAAAAGCTGTCGTCCTGCCACCTCTGAGCACTGACATTCATGTCCAAGCTGGTAATTCAGTGTGGTTGGTAAAACAGGAAGTGTTGACTCTCTTCAGCCATTTATGAACCTGGTTTCTCTCTCTCTTTTGTTAGTATGATTACAAGAGAATCTCTGTATTAGCAGACCGGCTAGTTACAGAAATAATGACTGAAATTCCAGATGTGGTTATGAATGGAGACCCAGAGCATCACTATCCAGGTATTAGCAGAATGTCTAATTTCCCTGGTTACAGAATCTGCCCCTTTCCACAAACTCCGCATTTCCTTTTTTTTTTTTTTAATAAAAGCTTTTAACCCTTCCAGTTGAGATGAAAATGTTCTAGAAGGTACCTCCATGTGAACCAAGTGCTGACTTCTTGAGACTGCAGGCAGCCTCTCATGCTGCATGTCTGAGAGCTATGAATTGTCCCACGCATCTCCATGCTATGCTGATCTTCAACCCCATAACACTATAATACCACCTTGAAAGCAGAGGTTAACCCTTCCCTTGCTGCTCACTGTAATGGAAGCATCTGGCTAGTTGTGTTGATGCAATGGTGGCTATGTGGGAGGGGTGACAGGTTGCTTTGTGATTGCTTAGGGAGGCCATGTGCCCATTCTGTGTCTCAGGCTTTTGTCCACATGCTCAGGTTTGTCTAATCGCCATAGGTGGGGTCAAGAAGGAATCTGTCCCATTCAGACTCGCAATGATTTGGGTTTTTTTCACTTTCCTTGGGTGAAAAAAGGGCAACAAATATGATGGGTTTGGAATGGGTGCCATAGGAAGAGATTAAAGACTTGGACTTTTCAGCTTAGAAAAGGGGAAATTAAGGGGTGATATGGTAGAGGTCTATAAAATCATGACTGGTGCAGAAAAAGTGAATAAGGAAAAGTTATTTACTTGTTCCCACAATATAAGAACTAGGGGTCGTCAAATGAAATGAATAGGCAGCAGGTTTAAAACAAACAAAAGGAAGTTTTTCTTCACTCAGTGCACAGTCAACCTGTGGAATTCCTTGCCAGAGGATGTGGTAAAGAGTAGGACTGTAACAGGGTTCAAAAAAAGAGCTAGCTAGATTCATGGAGGTTAGATCCATCAATGGCTATTGGCCAGGATGGGTAGAAATAGTGTCACTAGCCTCTGTTTCTTTGGAGGTGGGTGACAGGGAGGGATCACATGAGGATTACCTGTTGTGTTCCCTTCCTCTGGGGCATGTGGTATTGGCCACTGTCAGCAGACAGGATACTGGGCTAGATGGACATTTGGTCTGACCCAGGATGGCCGTTCTTATGTTCTTATCTCACTTGCCAGGGTTATCTGAGTACAGTAAAACTCCATTGGTCTGGCATCCAATGCTCCGGCACTCCTGATGGTCCCACACCATCAGGAACACAGAAGTGCTCTCGCTGCTGGACAATTGGAGCTGCTCTGCCCCAGGTATCCCCAATTCAGCCGCTGCTGAAAGGTCTGACCCAGGATGGCCGTTCTTATGTTCTTATCTCACTTGCCAGGGTTATCTGAGTACAGTAAAACTCCATTGGTCTGGCATCCAATGCTCCGGCACTCCTGATGGTCCCACACCATCAGGAACACAGAAGTGCTCTCGCTGCTGGACAATTGGAGCTGCTCTGCCCCAGGTATCCCCAATTCAGCCGCTGCTGAAAT